AAATTTACATTTTATAAATCGTAACTTTACAAATCAATGTTGTAATCAAAAATTATATAATTTGTCGTAAATTTAAGAATATTTTTTCCACAGTGATTATGGAGATAGCACATCCGTAAGGAAATGAGAGTGTGGAAATTTTTTCCGTAACCCCCACAAGTTTTTTTCACAGTGTGCCTAGTTGGCAGGCGGATTTACAGGCCAGGGGCGTTTTTCCTCTTTCACACCCAAACCCGATGAGTGTTAGTGGCATGCGTTACGGTGTTCGAAAGGGCTTGGTTTCCCCTACGTAGCGACATCAAAAAAACGTTAACGTTAACGCTAACGTGAAAGCAGATGACTTAAAATTTTGACTTTCAACGTTTGACGAAGTTATAACTTACAGCAATAATTACGCTAGGGCGCTGGCACTTTCAACTACTAGACCCTGCTTAACTATAACGCTCGAACTATTTAACGCTTCTTTACGGCGTGAGGATTTTACACCTGACGCTTTAAGTATTAGCGCAACAGCTTTTTACGTTCAAAACGTTAAAACTATTAACGCTGAGCTACTTAACTTATAACGTTCGAACTACTAACGTCAGTACTACCTGACGCTTTTTAAATTGACGCATAAAGTATTAACGCAATAGCTTTTAACATTTTAAATTAATTACGCTTGCACTTTCAACGCCGAGCTATTTGACTCGACTGGACCCTTTAACAAGAACGTTCAAACTATTTCACGCTAAACAACCTCAACGCGTTCACACGTGACCATTAAAGCATTAACGCTACAACTGTCCACATTTTAAATGTTCGAACTATTAACTAAGCTATCAAAGCCTTTGCTGAACGTTCTAACTAACGATAGAACTACTTGACGCTTTTAACTTAACAATTACAGTAATAACGCTACTGCCTTTAACTCTTTAGCCTGTAACACTTTTCACGGATGTAAAAATTGTCGTACGTACTTCATCTTTTTTTTTAAGGGCACCGCGAGATTGCGACAGGCCTCGACCTGTGCGTATTTTGCACCTCACCTAGCCCAATATTGCAAACACTTTTGAAAGCATTATTGGCCGGCCAGCCCCGGACCGCGTGAATGATAGGGTCGTAAAGCTAACCCATACGGTCTCGCGACGGGCGGGGCCGGGCGGGGCCGGGCGGGGCAGCCGGGGCGCGTGTGACCCGAGTGCATGTGAACCCGCGAGGCGGCGGCGGGCGCGGGTGGCGCGGGGGCGCGGCACTGCGAACGCAGCGCGGCGGGGCCGACCCGGCCGGGGCTATAAAACCAATGGAGCTCTCTGGTAGCAACGGTCGCCTCCGAGCAGAGCAGAGACCGCAAACGGACTCACTCACGCGGACTCATGGCCCCAGAGCGTAGGAGCGGTGAGTGTTGAGTCCGGCCCGGCCCGTCTGCTATGAGTCCGGTCCGGCTCAGTCCGCCGGTCTCAGGCGGACTCTAGGTGGCCCTACACTTAGTGTGTCCGCTGTGTCCGGCATATTCCATTTAACCTTTTTGGACACGATTTTTGTAATTAAGTGTCAGAAAGTATACCTAAATTGTATGGTCGTACATTTGAATACATTCCTGGCAAAAACATCATCCGAAAATGGCAAACGGACAATCCGGACACGGCGGACACGCTTGTCCGTTTGCCATTTTCGGATGATGTTTTTGCCAGGAATGTATTCAAATGTACGACCATATATTTTGGATACACTTTTTGACACTTAGTGACAGAAAACGTGATCGAAAACGTTAACTGGATTATGCCGGACACAGCGGACACGTAAGTGTAGGGCCACCTTCAGGCGGACTCAGCCAGCCCGTCTAGGGCAAGGGGCGAGGAGAGGCGTGTGGCGGGGTGTCGCATCGGGATGGATTCGGCTACATCCCTCACCTCGGCCCACAGCAAACTTTTTTCCGTGAAGTTCCCGGTTGATTCCGGAAAGCACTTCCCGGTTGCTATTTCCCGCCGTATCTTTTTAGGTTATGTTTCACATTTTAGATAAAACATTGTTTTTTGAGAATATTAAGAATAGCGAAGTGATCAGAAATCAAAGCTGAACAGGGCCCGACTTTATTTTAACCTCACAGGCATGCTGATCATCAAAAATACAAATTTTGTAAAATATGAATATTTGTCAACATGCGTTCTGCGCATGCGTCACATGAAACCGGGAATATTTCCGGAAACAACCGGGAACTTCACGGAAAAAAGTTTGCTGTGCCACCTTCGGCGATCAGGCCGGACAGGTCAGGCGACACTGCCGCCCTGGCCCAGCTGGCAGCCAGCGGCACTGAGTCCGTCTGAGTGAGTCCGTTTGCGGTCTCTGGAGCAGAGCAGGGATTGGGACGGGCCTCAACGGGCCCGCTTCGATTCCGCCAGGCCCGTTTGAGGCCGGCCCAGCTCAGGCCGGCCCAGCCCAGGCCGGCCCAGCTCAGGCCCGTTCCGAACGCCAGGCCCGGTCAGGCTCGTTCCGGGCCTGTGGGCCTCCAGGCCCGTTTGGACTGTCTGACCGCGCTTGTCCGCTCGCCGCTCGCCGCCGCCGGCGTGCGAGAGAGACCAGCGCATGCGGAGTTGTGCAAGTGCGAGAGAGACAGCTCGGGGTTCTCGTTCGCTAAACCTCGAGCGCTCTAGCGCCGGCCTGCTGGCCGTTAGGCAACTTATTTGACATAACGTTCGGGAAACGTTCGGCAAGGTTCGGCTGGAGTGGGATGGAGGTGGCGTGGTGCGGCTGCAGCGCTACCCTCCGCCACGCCCCGGAGCCAGGCCCGTTGAGGCCCGTCCGACATGTGCAGTACGCTCGGCCATGCTTCGTCGTACGGAGCTCGGACCAAGACCAAAGGCCACTTCTAAGTGTAGTCTTTCATCTGACACTCGAACCTCCTCAATTCTTTACTTCGACCCTCAAAATGGGCCGGCCTAACGTTGGCCAGCAGCTGTCTTTGTGCACTGTAAATCCAGGAGTGACGGTTGTCGCCCCTGGGGGAGCGACATTTTGAATCAAATTTCGTCGCTCCCCCAGGGGCGACGTTCAAAAGTCTCGCTCTACTTGAGTGACGGTTTTTGGATGTCACTCTATTTGAGTGACGCTCCCACTAAATCACCCAGGTTTGCGTCACTCAAATATAGCGACATTAAAAAATATCGCTCTAACAGAGCGACGTAAGAAACATGTTGCTCTTTCTAAGCGACGGAAAAGTTCGTCGCTCTTTGCGGGCGACGTAAGTCGCTCCACGATTTACAGTGTGAAACGAGATTTGCATTCGAATTTTTTTTTGTCTCCCTTCTCGTTTCTATGTTCTTTTTTTTGTTCTTGCCGTCGTCTGGGATGATTTGAAAGTCATCGGGAGGCTCCGACTGGAAAACAAGGGGTGGATCACTGCGGAAATGGGTGTACACTGACTAGTAGTCAAAACTGACTAGGTGACTGGAAAGGTGACTGAAGGTGACTTTAACAGTGACTGGAGGTGACTTGTAGTGACTGGAGATGACTTAAATAGTGACTGGAGGTGATTTTTCCACTGACTGGTGACTGGAAAATGACTGGAAAACGACTGGAAAAGTGACTGGTCGGAGCCCTGTACACTGACTGGTCGGAGTAATGTGCCCCTCGCTGGAAAATGATATACCAGCGAAGGGACGCAAAGCGTTATTGCTCTGCGCATTATGTTTTGTTTGCGGTGTTTGTCGGCGACATCTGCGTCTCCGTATCGCCTCTGCTGACCCCGCACTTGGGTGTTGTGTCTCATGTCGCTCGAGCAGGCAGGGCCGAGGTGGGAGCTCATAGTCTGGCACGGCGCGCCCGCGGATGAGGACGTCTTCCTCGTCACCTGTCACCCCGCACTTGCCTCGCACCACTGTGAGTACGTCTACGTAATAGTGTGCACGATAGAGTAAGCGTCCTGTGGTGTGGTGAGTGTTACCCTCCTCGGTCTAAACTATAAAGGTTGGCGGGTGGCGCCCGACTGTCAGAGTTCTCAAACGGGTGGGTAGAGCGGCCGCTCTCTTACCCGCCGCTGGCTGGACGCTCTACCCGACCCACCCGACCCGCTGCCGGGTTGGGCGGGTCGGGTCCCGAGCTGTCGGGGGAAGGGGGGGGG